ACACACACAAACACACACACACAAACACACACACACACACACAAACACACACACACAAACACACACACACACACAAACACACACACACAAACACACACACACACAAACACACACACACAAACAAACACACACACAAACACACACAAACACACACAAACACAAACACACACAAACACACAAACACAAACACACACAAACACACACAAACACACACAAACACACACAAACCTGTCGAACAGACAAAGACAAAGACAAAGATCCCCCGTATAGCCTTAACAGACTGTAGGGGTAAGTGCTGTTAGCGAGCACCTATGAAGGCCGGAACGGTACACGAGGGGGTGGGTGGCCAGCACCACGCCCGACCGCCTTTGTCACCCTAGTGGCGATATTTACACACCGCACCAGGTACTCATTTGAGGCTGAGTCGACCTAGGGGAGGCCCGGGACCGGTTCAGATAATCGTCACTGGTGTTGGCCGTGAGCGGGAATCGAACCCGGGTCGGCAGGTTCATAGCGCAGCGCGCTAACCGCTACACTACCGCACACACACACACCCGTCGCACAGACACACACACACACCCGTCACACACACACACACAGCCGTCGCACAGAAACACACACAGGTCGCCCAGACACAAACACACACACCAGTCGCGCGCACATACCTTGTCGAACAGACACGCACACACACACACCCGTCGCACAGACACACACACACGTCGAACAGACACACACACACACCAGTCGCACACACACACATACCTTGTCGAACACACACACACACGTCGAACAGACACGCACACACACACACACACCCGTCGCACAGACACACACACACACCCGTCACACACACACACACCCGTCGAACACACACAGGTCGCACAGACACACACACGTCGAACAGACACACACACACACCCCAGTCGCACACACACAACTTGTCGAACAGACACACACATACCTGTCGTCGGAGCCCACGCTCAGAAAACGAATTCCGCCCGAGCCGAGTGAGCTCTGGGCGTCGTCACACCGCCGAGAAAACCGCAGTTGTGCGCGCATGAACCTTGGATTCGAGTCAATTGGCACTGGGTGTCGAAGCCAATCGTTTATTATCCTATGTAAGTTCAGTTTGCGCGAGCGAAGGCTGTCTGGGACATCGGTAGGAGTGGATGCCGATGTATATAAAATACGCTCCCTTTCCACAAGCAGGTCGTGCCGCTCGTGAACGGGACGCGTGTGCGAAGTAAAGGAGTAGCCCCTGCAAGTGCCTGCTCGTGGCCACTGCTGACCGAAGGGGCCACGGCAAACTCCACGGGAACGAAACTGTTGCGAACGAGTTCACGTCAGCACGCGCGACTCTTCGTGCCACGACGAGGTTCAGCAATACTCTTTGGTTTTATTTGATTTGCGCGAGTACACTGAACTTTGTGCGAGTGATGTGAATTCACCCTTCTCTACGAGCAGTCAGTTTATGGCCGAGCAAAGACCGCTGCTGACTTTGCACACAAAAAGGCCGTAAGCCAATGGTGGGAATTCTACATTCCCACATTCCTGTGGTGTGCGAGGCGAGTCTCTCCATGGAACGTGCACTGTTGAATTCGCCACAAAGTTGAACCTATTTGATCGATCCCAGAGGGATGATGAGCTGAGTCAACAACCCCCAACCAGAATATGAACTGGCGACCTTCTGATTGCGAGCTGCACGCTCTAGCGCTGACGCACCCGACAGGACTGAGCAAGCATCACGGAGAGACGCCTGCTTGTGTGACATTAGGTTCGGTCGTTCTTTCAGAATCAACATCTTTATTTTTTTCATAGTGGAGGAATTCGATGAGCTGTGAAGATCTTTTTCACAGATGTCCAGCAGGGGCGGGTCAGAACGCTACCCCACAACAAACAATACCGAACGCGATAGCGGTGCAAAGTAGAGGAAAGGTAAACAAATCGATTTTAAAAGATATACAAATATAACGAAACAATGTTTTTTTTATCTTACCCGGTAAAGTCCACTGAGCTATTAATAATTATTAGGGCTCTGCTGCTGAGCCACCTTACGAAAGTGCCTCGTAATACAGGCATGCACGTGGACTTTCTCGGGTTTCTGTAAAAAAAGATAAACCTGATTTTCCACCTCCTATGGTGTTGAGAAACAAGTAAATACACGTGACACGTTGGACGAATGTTCTTAAAGGTCCCGTGGGTCGCGGCCGCGTGCCCCTCCCTCCCGCGACCCTGTGACCTTGTTTGAAATGATGGTGTGGGTGGGGGGGCTATACGTACTCAGGGGGGGCACGAGGATCAATGTCAAGCACACGTGAAGTCGACATTAAACGTGACGGCGATCCGAACGGCTCTTGTCCAGCCATCGTCTCGAGCCCTCGCCCGCTGTGCAAAGACTGCACCAACACGTCTGGACTCAACGGTGCGAATGTAGAAGGGGGGCTGCGCCTTCAGCGGGGGGGGGGGCAGGCGCGCTTTGCACTCTAGTGGTAGTGCCTTACGCCAATAATCCATAGTCCAAACCGAGCGGCAGGGCTCTGTGGGGCTTGATTGATCGTGCTTAATAGGTTTGTGTTATAGAATGTTTGAACGTTGTAATTCATTCATGGAGACATACGTTATTATTAAATATTAATGTAGGAGTACATTTATGTATGCTATATATATGATACCGCTTTTCAAGGAAATTGACCTCGTGCATTAATAATGTAACACGCAGTACAGCAAAATGACTGTGCAAAGAAGTTAATTTTATTGGATATTACTTCATGACAGCATAATTTACAAATTAAATCCGCAAAGGACACACCTGCAATGTGTGCAGGACGACATTATAACGCGTGATCAGGATCTGTGCACACACGGCGCTTTATAAATTCGCCTCCACATCTCAAAGCGCCTCGCGTGACATTCTTAAACATTCCAGCGCCCAGCTGCAGTTTGTGGCTTTTTTTTGGCTTGCCTAGGGGACCCACTGATGACAGCTGTCCCTGTGCGGCGGTAAAAAGTGTGGGAACTCTTGAGAACAATCGTTTCACACGATTTAGTTACAAGAGGAGCATCTGATAAACCATAATGCCCTGCCGTGTTTTATTTAACTGGAGAAACCAGTTTCGTTTTATTTTTGTGTGAATATTTTAATTGTTTTAGTGATTTGTTCACCTTTCCTCTACTTGGCTCTCCAATCGTGTTTTTCTATTGCTTGTGGTTGTAACTTTCTGACCCGCCCCTACTGGACACCTGTGAAAAAAAGCGTTATAGCTCATCGGATTCCTCCATTATAAATAACAAAAAAATTATGTTTCCAGTTGTTTGTGTTGTCAGCTGGAAGGTTATCATTGCTGTGTTGTAAATCCTGCCCAGAAACGATCGCTCTACCCGGCTCGCACCGCCGTGCCGTGCAGCAATCGCCGCCACCGACTCATTGCCCCGTGCACACTCGCACGGGGCCCGCGGCTCTCACGGTGCCAGAGACACCCGATCGGCCACACGGACGAACAAACAGCACGGGCGCTTGCTTCCTGGTCACGTCTTCAAGGTCTCCCACGCACAACTCCACGACGTCATGGCGGCATCATCAGCGCCATCACCGCCACTGCCAACGCAGACAGGCGATGACGCGCGTGTACCACGCGGCGGCGCTCTAACACGGCAGCCATTTTCATCCACTCGCTTCGGGCGCCAATTCGGCATCCATCTCCCAAGGTGCCGTGGCGTCGTTTAAACGAATGTCGTCATTCTCTTTTCGAGACATTCTCAGTTTGCACTTCCAGGTGTCACTCGCACCTCGATTGACAGGGAAGCGCAGTTCCAACTCCGCTAGAGCTGGGATTCTCGATTACTTAAGTAATTTTTGATTTAAAGCTTTCGTGACTGCAGTAATTCATATTCTTAGTTCTTTCGGTAAAGTCACGTTGAAGGGAAACAATAAAATAATAAAATATATACATAACACAAACGACCGTTTGTGTTATGGTCGAAACGTCGTGAGTTATGGTCGAAACGTCGTGAGTTATGGTCGAAACGTCGTGAGAATTTTTATTGTTTTATATTTTTTTATTATTTTTTATTGTTTCCCTTCAAAGTGACTTTACCGAAAGAACTAAGAATACTTAAGTAATGTCATTAACCCATTTAATCTACTATTGTTTAAATTGCTCGATAACGCGAAAATAGCTGGGGGGGGGGGGGGGCAGGAAGTCTCTCCTCCGTTCCCACGTGTATCGCTGGACGGGAGGTGATACGCGTCACATTGGGAGTGGCTTTTCGGGGTGTCCCGCCTTCGGGAGGCAGGATGTTGGGGCGGCTGACATTTTTTTTTAAAGGCGCCTGTCATCGACCAAGAAAAATAAGTAGCCAATAGCAATTCTTAGTAGAATAATCGATCCGATCGGCTGATGGACCCAGCTGGGTGCCTCCACACATTGGAGATGTTGGTTTGCACGCAGTCGCGTCTCACGTGCCTGGCATTGTGCTTGCACCTCGAAATTTACGTCGATACCTTTGTCCCCTTGCGAACAGAGTTCACGCGAGAAACAGTTATTTTTCCGTTCACGTGAGCGAATTCTCTCTCGAAATTCCCGCCCTCGACTCCCTTCGCCACTAGGGGCTCGCGTGACACCAGAGTTCAAGCAAACTTAACCTAGCGGCACCCCTGATGACAGCTGCCCCTGTGCGACGCAAGGTGACGTAGCACCGGTCTCCCCCCCCCCCCATTCCATTTTTTGTTTTGTTCACAAAGGCGGCGTCACATTAACAATACGGAGACACGTGTCTATTCCACACACACTTGCACTGCAAACAAAATAATAACAGATGAATTGTACTCAAATGATCAATACATATCTCTCCGATTATGTTTTTGGGGTTGCATTGTGTGCTGCTGAGCGGAACGCTCAGTCGACTGGAAGCTTCTTCGGGAACCTCCTTGTCTCGGTCACAGTTGAGCCGATGCAGGAGTACGGTCATTGAATGTCTCGCATCCCAGCGAGCACCTCTGACATTTACCAGGAGTAATAACAATATTGTACTTGTTACATTCACCGTTTAAATAAAATACCTACGTATGTATGTTGAACTTCTTTCGCGCCGTGCATAGCCAACTTTGCTAATGGGAGGTGTGTCTACAGTTATAAAGCAAACATCAAATGCTGAACGGTTACCTGCATACGGCTCAACTGGAAATACACAGAGAGACATCACCCTTGCTAGGAAAACCTGGTGGGTCTGGTCAACAAAGGTCGTGGAAATATTATAATTTAGTACTTTCCTTCCCCGTGTAGACAACTTACATTTGTCGTCATAGTAAAAGTTGGCGGAGCCATTGTCTTCCTGCCGTTTTGGACAGCGAGGGTGGGACTTATGGCGTTAGTTGCAGTCAGCTACGTTTTGTGGTTGTTCCCGTTTATCATTCGTATTAAGGAGTTTTATTTTTGCCAGCCCATCTTGAGTGCGATCATCTTTGACTATGCAAGCTAGCAAGGTGGCGAATAAGGAAATAGCCTATGCCTGTTTGTGCAATTCTACGGGTGTTCCCGAACCTTTTTGTATTCTTTCGGCCAATACGTCATTCGTACAGAGGGCACGTCCTTCCACCTCATCGACGGATCCCAGGAGTATTCGGGGGAGAGCACTTTGCTCGGCTTGTTGTCAAAAAAGTAGCGGTTCAGGTGGCTCTCGTCGTGCCAGATCGCCTCGATCCCCTTCTCCCTGTCGCGGACGATGCCCCGAAAGATCCCTCGCGTCATGTTCACCACGCCTGAGCAGCAGCCCCCGAATACGGCGGCGTGGTAGTAGAAGTCTCCCTCCCCGCGCGCGATGTAGGCTGCCGACTTGGGCCGCCGCTCGTACGGGAAAGTGAGCGGCCTCTTTGAGAAAAATCCCGCGTGGATCACTGCCACGGTGTCCCCCAGCACCTCCGGGCCCCAGGGGCCCGTGAAGTATTGATCCACGTCGAAGCAGAAGACGTAGTCGGCTAGGCCCATGAGGGTGCTCTCGACAAGGTCACCGATGGTCTTCATGCGGTCCATGCAAATGTCTTGCCACCGTGCCTGTTTCTTGACCTTTCAGACATCGCCACCACCCATCATATTTGGTGGACAGGGCCCACCGAGTGAAGGGAATTTTTTGGCAGCTTCCAATTCTCTCTGAGCCTAATCGCTTAGCACTGGGCGCATTATAAATTGAATTATCGTTACGTTCATAATGCTCTTAAGAAAACTTTTGCCAAACAAACACGGCACATGGGCACACGAGGCGAGTTAAAGAGCTTGGCAAATACCGCTTGTGTATCTTTTTTAAGAAACCGGTCATCCTGCACGGCAGTGCGGAGTGCATAGCAGTGCGATCAACAAACACCGAACACAGCCATCAATCACGCCGCATTCAATAGAAGGGAAATAAACCACATACGTATTAACACAATGTGTCTTTACGTATGTGTGTTGAACACTCTTTAGCACTATACATAGCCAACCGTGCGAAGCGGCTCTTCCTCTTGACAAACAATGTGAATAAGGGTAATTTGCCCGTAATGTGTTTTTTTCCCTTTCATGTTAAGACAGTGCTGTTGGCGAATGCGTTCAATTCTTCTTGTGAATTTAGGTTCGATAGATCGTGATGCACTGCCACTTTAGAAGTCGGCGTTACCCTTATGAGGACCCACAAGTGAGCTTAAAATTGTTGCTTAAATCGTTGTTTTGTTTATCAAGGTGACAACTAAAGAGATCAGGGCGAGTCTCATTTGCTAGAGCTCGAGCGGCCTGGCGCACCACTGACAGCCAAACGTTCCGCCATCTTGTGGTTTTTACTCACCTTAATTGAGACGAGAGATCTTCCGGGTGCGAGGTCAATCACAGGTACGTACGAGGGAAAGTCTGTCAAGACGAAGTACGTGACCTCGTGGCCCAGCAGGAAATATCGTTCTGCCGTCTCCAAAAATGTAGGCAAATATTTGTCCAGGTATCTGTGGAGTCAAAGGCAAAAATCGAAGTTATTTTCTGCTGAAAATGAGCATCGACGCAGGGCTCATCTCCTGTTTTTAGCCCTGAACCATTGACGGAAATTCCACGTTCATGTGACGGGGGACGAGTCTCTGCAGGACACCCACTCTTGAATTTAACGCAAAGTGGTGTTAATCGAATGTTAAAGTTGCGCTGCCTTACACCATAGTCCCAGCCGGGCCCAGGATTCCAATGAAGCTGATTCTGAGCCCCAAGGCACGGCTGAGCCGCTCATCCACGCGTCTTGGAAGCAACTGAGCGACTCAAGCGTGAGCCGAGATTGAGCATTCGAGGTCGAGCCAGAGGCAAGCCACAGATAAGCGGTCCCAAGAAAGACTGAGAGGTGGGCACACGCTCTCTATCAAAGCCGAATCTTTGCTTGCGTGGAATCAATGCTGCTCAAATTATGCGCTCCTAGAATGTCCGTGGTGGGCGATGGGTTGTATACTGTAACTCCGCTACTTACGAACATTCGACTTACGAACTTTCAGAGATACGAACAAACCTTGTCCGTATGTCCAGTTGCCTGTTCGGACCCAAAGTAGTAGGTTCAACCGCCGCGCAAAAGATGGAGGTGGTGGTATCTACATCTGCAGAACATGAAGAACCAGTGACATCTACATCTACACGAGATTATACAACTTTTAAAGCCATTCCCCGTGTTTAGTGTCCATGCCGTACAACGTGTTTGGAATCGGCAGGAGTAAAGTTGTACTTACGAACAAATCGACTTACGAACAGACCTCTAAAACTCCTCTAATTACCACCTTGGTGGTAAGTAGAGGAGTCCCTGCATAAACAACACTGTCCCCGTACCTTGTACGTGATAAGAGGCCGTGTGGTCTGCGCGTCGATGCGGGGGGGGGGGGGGTCAACTCCACGGCCGTCGCGCGACTCACCGTCCGATGGCAAACACGGTGACGACCACGCGGAAGGGCGTGCCACCCGCATCCTGGCTGCCCACCTGGGCGGGGGCGAGCGTGTCGCTCCACACGATGGGCGCCCCCCACTCGGTCGTCCTGTTGAGCTCTGGCTTCGTCCTGCGAGGCATTCGTCCGTGGCACTGCCTTAAAAGGGAAACGTAGTGCCACGTTTTGGGGCAATGGCCCGACCAGATGCGCCACTTTGCGGGGCGGTAAACAGTGGTTGTCCTATGCATATACTCGCCTCCACCATATGAACGTGGAATTTCCGCCAGTGACACTAAGTTGCAAACAGGAGACGAACACATCCCCCGATGCTCACTTTGAGTGATTTACCAGCTCAGCCTGCCAAACCTTCTCTCCCTCGCCCACATCGCACGGGTCTCTATCGAGCCGCAGCAATGATCGCTTTCGTTGAACGTTCCACATTCCGCTGGTTCGCACGGTTGCTCTCTTTGCGACGTTATTTCACGAGTTGCCCTTGCCGTTTATTCGATAAGAAATTCATAGATCTCGTCGAGCTGGTACCAGCGCTCGCTCGGTATAAGTATCTTCAATGCCAACATTGCGCAAAAAACGTGAGTGGAGCGCGTTATGCAACACCACCGAGTGCCTGAAGAACTGCATTGTGGTGATGTTTTGATTTAAAGCTTCCGTGACTGCAGAAATTCATTTTCTTGGTTCTTTCGGTAAAGTCACGTAGAAGGGAAACAATAAAATAATACGTGACTTTGCCGAAAGAACCAAGAATATGTGGTGATGTTGTTTTAACTTTTACCGTGGCTTCGCACAATGCCTTTTTGTCAACACTCTGCGCGTGTCTCTGAGCGTTATTGTTCCAACCTAACAGAACTTGCTCCCAACAGTCTGTCAAAAGCTATGCGGAAGGGGGTGGGGGTCTTTGTTTGTTGTTCCGACCTGCGCTCACGTTTCTGCCGTGATTGGGGTGGGGTCTCTCATCCTTGACAAATCTGAAGTTGTTCCATTGCGATTCGCGCTCGCCGCGAGCACAAACCGTACACGACATTGACCTCACACAACGCGCGGATGTAAATGTGGGTTGCTGCGTGCGTTGCACGGGTTGTTTTTGTTGTTGTTGTTGTTGCAGAAACTCGTAATATCCTCACCTGTGCAGAACAAATGCCGTTACAATGCAGCCCAGAGCCACCAGGAGGCAGAGACCCAATCTACCCGAGAGTCGCCTCAGCATTGCAACTTCTGCGGGCCAGGGTGGTGGAGGTCAGAAATACATTTTAAAAAATGGCACTATGTAACACGATTTGTGTTCCTGGGTAGTAAGTGTTATTTTCTAATTGCTTATGCCTCAGGTGATATAGAAAATGGATATTATTCCCCACAAACTTTGCTTTTGTGACCAGGACTTTATGTGAAGGAATGAGGCAAATGCGCACGTTTTCTCATTGAAAAATAGGTACATTTCAAAATATCACAAGCAACTGTTTATGGAGCAGCGACACGATTTGAAAATATCTTAAAAGTTTTCAAAATATCTAAATACGAAATTACGGATTTAATTTTCACTCAGTAGACTTTGCGTGTCATGTCCGCTTTTAAAGCGCGTCTCCTGTATTAAAACCGGTCCAGCATGTGTCAGGGGGCATGGAACAGGGTGGCGGGCAGCGCAAAGCACGCTGCACGGTCTGCCTGCTTCCCTCGCTCTGCCCATGAATCCCACAACGGCCGTCGTGAGGCTTCTCCGAGATGTTTGCTTTCACGTCAAAGCCCACGAGGCAGAATAACCGCAATGAGCCTCGTCACCCTCGTGGGAAGCGAGTCTCGGTTCGCACTGAGACACCGGCGCCGGGAGGCACTCGGTGCGCGGCTGTGTAGCTGTGCGGTGGAAGAAGCCCCGCGCACACACGCCTCTGGATCACACCTCCGATTGTCACGGTTGGCCACGTACGGCGCGGACGAAGTTCAACGTACGTTGCACGCGCCAAGAAATGGTCGTGACCCTCCGCGTAACGGATTTCTGGCCGCGGCTGGCAGTGGAGCTGAACTCTCGCTCGCTCTTCCACGTGCCTGCGGCGTGGGTGCGTTTCTTGGACTATGCAGCGGGTTCGTCACGGAGACGAGGGAAACAATCGCGACTCTCCACCGAGTATCCTTCATGCGGCAAACCCCGTTGAAAATTGCGAATGTGAATATGTGATTACTTGTGTACGGTCACGGAAAGAGAAAATGTAGCCACCCCACTGATAACTCGGCTCATTGTGTGGCCGTATTTGCACGGATTGATATCTCGATATATCTGGAACGCTGTTAGGCTGGCTTGGAACATGATATATTGTAGTAAGGCACGACTGCTGGAGTACAAGGGCTGCCTTTATACAATCATCCTATATTAGTGTACCACATATTTGTTCAAATCTTATCAACAGGTTTGTGATCCCGGAACAGCCGTTCTGGACCGTTCCCGGATTGAAATAAGGAAAACTAAATCTGAGTTTACCCACTGAATAGTTGGGTCGTCATGTGACCGTGTGTCTTTGAATATCGACACAGAACGGGTGCCTGCGAGTCATGAGACTACTCGCTCACCTGTGAGTCCCTCCGTAGGCTCCCTCTGCTCGTGCAACAGACCCGCTGCTGCTGCTGGTTATATATCAGCGATGTCACCCCCATAAATGCCACATTGCCACGCCCGTGCGCATGGAAACGCCGCCACAGAACACACATTTAGAGCAAAGAAGCACGTTTTAAAACGCAAACATCCTCGCAGCGACGCGCACTTCAAACAATAGCGGTGATTACACAATTGTGCTACTGCTCGGCCGTGGGTGGTAAGAAGATGTCAGCGTTAGTTAAAGGGGCATCAACCCCACGCGAAACGGGTTCTCAAAAGTCAGTGTGATTTTCTGCTCAAATGGGTATTGAGAAATTGATGGTCATCTATGGTTACAGCACTGAGCCTGTGGTTAATATTGCACATTCCTATGGCGGGGGTAACTCTCTTTCCATAGGACGATCGCTGTTGACTTCTCCACAAAGTGGTACCAAAATTTATCGACCCCCCCAACCATAATTTGAACTCGCAGCCTTCCAATTGCAAGCAATGTTCATCCACAGAACCTTTCCATCTCGCGGACTTTTCGCAATCGCGAAATGCAGCCCGTGTGCTTAAGAGACAGGGAGAAGTAAATATTACGACGAAGTTTGCCCGGAGTCAAGGTCAAGGGGTCATCGCGACCTATAGCCGTCGATGCCACCGACGCGCCTCCACGGTCAACCCCGACCGTCTCTCACCCTCTGATCCCAGGAAAGAAATAAAAAAAGGAAAAATTGAATTGAGCGGAGTGGCGAATGCCGAGGCAAGGGTGCGAGCTTGGGACTAACGCTGTGAAACCACCACTTTTCCGACAATGGGAGGAACATCAATTCTGAAAGATATCGATGCAGTTGAGGTGTCTTGCAAGAGATATGCAAGGTTATAAATAGTGACGTGAACCGAGTTACTTTGTAAATAAGCAACTTATCCACCTCCATCTATCTGCACGTCTCTCTATATACATTTGTGTTGTCTTTTTTACACCACCTATCAGCCATGTGGCCTTCTGGAGGTGTACAATTTCAGCAGCATTGGCCCAATACAAGCAACGCTGAGCCGGTATTTACATTCAGTATCTTTTGATTTAAAGCTTTCGTGACTGCAGTGATTCATATGCTTGGTTCTTTCGGTAAAGTCACGTTGAAGGGAAACAATAAAATATATATCGTGTTTTTTATATATATTTTATTATTTTATTGTTTCCCTTCAACGTGACTTTACCGAAAGAACCCAAAATATTCAGTATCTTATCAGTCAAAACCACATTTGCAATCTGAATAAGGCTGGTAGTGCACACAAACTACAGGAGGTACAAAAACAATGTGCATGTATAATGTGCATGCATAGTGTACCTTGATTATCATATGAATAACCCAACCGGCAACGGATACCCATTCTAATCTATATGCATTCATTAATCCCCCCCCTCCCTTCGTACGTGAAGGGCTCACAAGTGACGTCATCACATCTATCCCTCTATTTAAAGAACGAAACAGGAGGATTTGTCCACAAATCCGGCTCTCCGCCTGATGATGCTAGTTGTAATTACTGGCAAAACGTCGGACTCAGATCGTAAATGTTCTGGGATTACTCTCCAACACACCGGTGTGCTGTACTAGTAACGAATTGGCACCTTCTGTTTACGTGACACAACTTTACTAATTGGCTGCGTCGGGTGGTGGCGGGTTTAACGACACATTTATATATTTACGCGATCTAACCCAAAACCTGTATTATGGTCATCAGTCTCTTTGTCTTATATGTGGAAACACGGAATTGAGTTGTGCTTATATTATATACTAGCTTGTTAGCCCGCCCTAGGACGGAAGCTGTAATATTAAAGATGTAAATTAACGTTTTATTGTGTGATTATTAATTTTATTTAAGAAATGTAGCACATAAAGACATTCTTCTTAACTTATATTCTTATTCTTAGCTCTTTCGGTAAAGTCACGTTGAAGGGAAACAATAAAATAATAAAATATATATTAAACAATAAAAATTCTCACGACGTTTCGACCATAACACAAACGGTCATCACACCTGATTGTGTTATGGTCGAAACGTCGTGAGAATTTTTATTGTTTTATATATTTTATTATTTTATTGTTTCCCTTCAACGTGACTTTACCGAAAGAGCTAAGAATATGAATTACTGCAGTCACGAAAGCTTTAAATCTTCTTAACTTATTAAATGCAAATAAGGACTTTGGAAGATTTCTCGGTATACGATATTTTGTGTGAATCTCTTATCACTGTTCAAAAGGTTTCCCTGCAGTTGGCTATCCTTGATGAGCACTTTGATCCGCTGAGGATATTTATATCTAGACAGAGCTACGTGCAACTGGTCATGGGGAAATACCGGTCCGTTGAGATGAATACCCACCTCTTCAAAAGTCTGACCCTGCACTGCGATAAAAGTTGCCCCGCACTTTATAGACACTGTATAGGGGCAGTGTGATCTGCAGAGGGGCCAAATCTAGCTAGCATAGAGGCAAAATAAGCATTGACATTTATTTATTTTACCAGGGACTCTTCGGTATCTTACACAATAGGCAAAGGTGAACAACAATCTCTGTGGCTGTAAAATTTGAAAAAAAACCCGTAACTTCACTTTAGCACTGTTTTCAAATCACCTGAAGCTAACTGACAAATTTATCTTCACCGATGGACGCTTGATAGGGAAGAAGAGTGAATAAAGTTGATTGCTGATACTGTCTGAAGTAACTTATCAAAAAACGGAGAACCAAAAAGAAGCATTAGAGTTACGAATACATTGATGAGAGTATAATTTTATCTTGTCTAAATGTAATGGCAGAAGAATGAAGAAGATTGTCATCAAACACTGCACAAAAGGAAGTCGAAAAAAACCTCGCAGCATTTTGACCGCGGCACTGCATTAATGGCAGTGGTTATTGCACGCAACTACGTCATAAAACACATGACGTAATGTCACAGTGAGACTGCCTTTAACGGACGTTCAATCACTAGCAAGTCGCTGCTCTGATAACTTACTTATCCTCCGCTTTCGCTCGCGGGGCGTGAAAACAATTGGAGTTCGATACAATGTCTGCAAAGTAGCAGAGAAATGTTAATCGTAGCATAATTTGGCAGCGTAAAGTAGACACCTGCCTTTTGTTGGACGTGCCCAAGAAATTAATAAAGGCACCAAATGCACTGGGATGCGGCGTAGAATTATGCATTGCCTTCACTTTCCATAAAGATACGAAAAATCGAAAGCGAATTTGCGTAAAAAAATATAATAGCCACTCGAACCTTCTTTGTTAGTCAAAAAATGCAGGCACGCATGAATATTAATGAGGGGGGGGCATGTGCAGTGACGTCACGCGCGGGACACACACACACACCCTTCTTTGGCTCGTTATATTAGTTGCTGCATTGATTTCTTTATTAGCTTTACTTTCCATAAAGAAACGTCAAAATGAAAGCTAATTTGCGCAAACAAATTTTCGTTTCCGCTCCAACTTCTTCATGCGGATTGACTTCATGATTATTAATAACGGGAGGGGGGGTGGCCCATGTGGAGTTCCCCACCTGTTCATGAATATTAATGAGGGGGGCGGGTCGACGTGAAGTGATGTCACGCGCGTTACACACAGACATTCTTGGATCATTACAGTAGTGATTTTTTTTTTTACGTGGAAACACGGAATGGAGTTGTGCTAATACTAATGGTATGCCTGGAGACACGGAATTTGGCAGTATTTGCATTCTAGATTTGAAGCTTTCGTGACTGCAAGGATCCATACTCTTTGGTTCTATTCGGTAAAGTCACGTAGGTAAAAAATAAAACAACAAAAAACCCACGACGTTTCGGCCACAGCACAAGTGGCCTTCACCCCAACGCTGTCCTCTGGACAGTACGGCCCCTTCACCTGATGAAGGCCACTTGTGTTGTGGCCGAAACGTCGTGATTTTTGTTGTTTCCCTTCAACGTGACTTTACCGAAAGAACTAAGAATATGTCGTGATTTTTGTTTATTTTTTTTTTACCTACGTGACTTTACCGAATAGAACCAAAGAGTGTATAGTATTTGCATTGCTCACGAAACTCTGTGGCAACGCAGAGCGAGCGTGTCCGCTGCCCAATAAGAAGCGTGGATGTAAAACTGCAGACAATGGGGGGGAGGGGGGGGTCAGTACAAACAGGCGTTGAGGCAAAGCACAAACATTGTGCGGGTTTCGGCTCTGTTGCGTAAGAGTCGAGGGGTCACGAGGACCTCCATCTCTCATCTTGTGTTCGCGCGTCGATTCTGAAGAGCTCAGGAGTGGACAAGGGCGACGCGAGTCGCCCGCTCCTCATCCCGGTCCGCGTCAACCCTACCAATGTCTCTCTCTCTCAACGCCCTGTGCACCTGAAACACAACTCTATAGTTTTTGGTTCTTTCGGAAAAGTCGCGTAGAAAGGAAATGAATAAAATAATATTATACGACTTGAAGCTTTCGTGACTGCAGGAATTACTATTTGGTTATTTCGGTAAAAGTAGCGCAGAAAGACATTTTAACTTAATTTCTTTCTACGTGACTTTACCGAAATAACCAAAGAGTAATAGAATACGACGTTTCGATTGCAACACAAGCAATCGTCATTAGGTAGAAAACAAACCTAGTGAACTTAGAAATACAATGCAATACAGCACAGAGAGTCGGCTAACACAACAGTCAACACCTTACCCGGTTGATTACGTTCATACAAAGATTGCTACATTTGAGAGAGAGAGAGAGACAAAACACAGACACGGAGACACACAGAGAGAGACACGCAAGCAGAGAGAGAGACATATCTCTCAGAGAGAGACACATCTAAAAAAATATATCAAAAAAAAACTTACCAGCACTCGTGGAACTCGGCAGCGCTCATAGCACGTATCCACACTCATAGGAGTTTCCGTTTTCAGTTTCAGTTTAATAAAGTATTAAAGCTTCCGTGACTGCATAAAATTACTCATTGTTTTTTTTCGATTCAAGAGCCATTCGGCTCTTGAATCGGGTGCAACCATAACAAACAAAAAAACAAAAAACACGAAACAAGAAAAACATCTTAAAGTGACTTTACATGTTCATCTGTCAAATATAACCATTTTCATACACAAATATGGATCTAACGTCATTAAATAAAAAAGGCGTCAGTTAATGCAATCAATAGTTTAAATAAAACAGGTCCCTGCAGGGTGGGCTGGTAGGAACATTGGAATTTTTTTTTACACCCAACAGCACGAGATTTCACTCCGTTAAAGTATTGAAAGGGGACGGACGGACGGACACATTAATCTATTGCAGGCTGGTACACTCAGTTTACAACTTCGTTCCTACCAGTATAAAAAAACCTATCCTGCCATGGTGGGGTGGAGGTGAGCCAAGGGGGGCTGGAGGAAGGTGATTTGTGCTCTTTACACACGCGGCCCCTGTTTCTGGAGGGTGCATCGCTAAAAACATTCTGGTTGGGCCCTGGAACAGTGTCTCGGATAGGATGATAACCATTATTAATAAGATTTTAGTTTTTATATTTGTTTTATTTGTGTTTCTGTTTAAGAGTGTATGTCTTGTTTGCCTCTTACCTGTGATTCTTAAATGTGTTTTTGTTTTAATGTTACGTCAGAAACACTTGGGTTGTGCTCTCCAGTTGCCTGGGTGAAAATTGGGCTAAGTTTTTCCAAATTCTGGCCCAGCTGCCTCAAAAAACTAACAAACAGTGTGATACATCCTCATAGACCGTATTGTGCATTATCACATCACATTTTGGACAACAATGGTCAAGAGTGTCAAGAGAACGCTCAGTTAAAAGAACCACCACCATTAGGCATACGCACACGCACAAATAGCAAGCCACTGTTGCGCAGGAATCATCAGCAAGTGTGATATTTGTTGTTTAAAGGATAATACTGCTCACATCTCAAACGGTGCTCATGTTGTAGCAACACACCGACGCTCTGTGTCCAGGGCTAACTTGAATGTGAAGCTTCGTTTATGACATAGAAAAACCTTAACGCCACATCAGCCACGCAATAGAAGCACTCTAATGATATCACTCCCGTAGGTTTTAATACGGCAATGTAGCGATGTCTCAAAGAGCGCATTATGGTGGCTCAGCAGAGGAGCGGCTCAGGGCTGCAAATTCAAATCCCAGTTTGCGCTTTGACTCAGCCAATCATCCCCCCAGGATCGATAAATGTCTATCATTTTGTTGGGAAGGCAACAGCGCCTGTCTACTGGAAAGACTTGCCTCCTTCATAGGAATATGTAATTTCCACCGCTGGTTCTGAGATCTGAAGGGAAAAGAGCCTTAAGGCTCATTTTAGTAGGAAATTACTTTGCCCGAATAAAAACAAATCTTAAATTCTTGTTACTGTTGAGGTATGTATGTGGAACTTCTTTCACACCGTACGAAGCCAACCGTTGAGAACGCAACCCAGGTAAGTAACTACGTCATAAACAATATTTTGTTGGGGTCGCACGTTCAGTTGATACTCTGAGTTGTTGGTAGGACAGCAGTCTAACTTCTATCCTGATACTCTTTGGTTCTATTCGGTAAAGTCACGTAGGTAAAAAATAAAACAACAAAAATCACGACGTTTCGGCCACAACACAAGTGGCCTTAATCAGGTGAAGGGACCGTGCTGTCACGAAGACAGCGTTGGAATTAAGAGAGTCAAGCCAGGTCGCGTCCTTTACCGAATAGAACCAAAAAGTATGGATCCTTGCAGTCACGTAAGCTTCAAATCTAGAATTCTATCCTGATGTCTGCAACCCTTGCTGTAAATCATCAATCGTTAATAATGCTCTCTTTGTTTTCCGCCACTCCCTCATTTATAGATTATTTGCATGCAGGAGCGGACCAATCTTGACCTGAATGATAAAACCGGCCAAGGACAACTGCATGAAGGATCTTTATTGCCCACGTCAAAGTCTGCCCCGTGGGTGAAGAGACCGCGGCAAACCTGCAGGCAGAGCGGGGAATCCCGAGGTAGATGTGGAGGTTGACGGCTCCCCGCTCGAGGAGGAGGGGGTTGCCGAGATGAGGGGGGCCCAGAGGCTGGTCCCACGGGCAGGCCCCCCCCCCCCCCCCCGGCTGGTGCTGGATAATCTGTATGGACGAGTAACTGTCGGGGACGTGCAGCGATGGGCCGGGACCCTCCACCGGAACACACTCCGGCATGAACTCCTCCTTAACCAGTCGCCCACCCGGTGGAGATCCATGAAGTGTTAGTTGTCCAAGGTCTAAGCCAGTACCTAAGCCGGGAGACACGACCCGCTCGTAGTGGTACGGGTTAACGCAGACGCTATCGGCCTTCAGGTCAACGGCGTACTGGCAGAACTTGAGATGCTTCAGCTCATTCTTGTGCAAATCAGGCCACCTCCAGATGCGAGCATAGATCACGTGTGGGAAACCTTTTCGACCGGCAACCTGCAGCCGGTCATCAAGCGTCTGCTGAATGGTGACGCGCTTCCTGGGGTGAGCGCCATTTGTGGTGATGGCCGTGATGAGAGAGTCCAACTCGTCCTTCTTTTCCTTCAGCTTCTTGACGAGGCTTTCGATGGCCCTCTTCGAGAAGGACTCACTCTCCCCGCCTTGCCGGTGGCACATGAGGCTGTGCACAATGCTGAGACAAGCATCGTTGCTCGTTGTTGTTCCCAGCGACATTCTAGGAGCTCTTTTTCAGACTAATAGTCTTCCGTTAAACGCCTGCAGTACCGGAGAGATGTAAAAGCTGAATGTATACTTCTTATCTCATATATTCCAAGGTGCTTTACAACAATTACTAAATTGTACATAACATGATAGTGGTTGAAGATTGGGGTTATTGAAAGTGGTGGTGTGGTTATGTTGACAGAAGAGGGAGTAGTTAAGGAGGGGTTTGGGTAGTGATAAGGGTCAGGGTAGGGGTAGTGGTAGGGGTAGTCCTGGTCGTAGCTTTGTGGCGGGGGCAGGGAGTAGCAGTAGGATCGGCTCGGGAGAAGAAATGGGTTTTAAGGAAGGTACGGAAGCAGGTTAGTGAAGGTTACATTTAAAAGTGTATATCATAAAAAATATATTTTAAACATCTTCAAACGCAAATTCTAGTCTTCCGATGGCTACAGACCGTCGGAGTGTTCAGGAGGAAGGCGTTACAGAGAAACCCAATCTCTCCATCCACTCCGTTTTCACAGAGGAGTCACCATTTACATTTGGCCTAATGATATCGAAATGACCCCATGTCCCACCACCGCTGCCTAAATGTCAGACTCTTTCAGAATCTTTATTTCACTTTGAGGAATCCGATGCTATGAAGATGTTTTTCACAGTTCGTCTGGCGAGCTCTCTTTTCCACGCGTCACTCTTTCGAGTTCACAACTATTTTGCAGGATGTAGGCGTCTCTCCAACCACCACCACAACTCCGTGCTGCTCATCACACGGGCGCGGGGCCGTGCCTGCCCGCAGCAGAAGACCACGCGCGGTAGAGCGACGAGTAGACAGTGCGAGTTGTTGTTGTTTGTTGTAGCCGGTCGGTGTTTTGTTGTTGTGGTTGTTGTTGTGGCGCTCATCAGCTCCTCTCGGCCCCCCCCATCGCAACTCATAAATACCAATCAGCACTCATAGAACGCGTCAACTCTCCATACCATCCGTGTACCTTAACACTCACCAGCTCACCCTCACCAGTTCATGGAGGTGAATTATTGGGCTAATTACACCTGTGCACCCGCGTCACCGCGGGTGCACAGGCGGTGCGAGGACTGGGACTGTACGTACACCTCCTTGCCCGCTGTGAGAGAAGACCGTGTCTTTTTAATGCAGTTACTGTCTCGACGAGGGCATCTGCTTTACTGGGAATATTTAGCAGTCATCATCCGGATCAGCCCAACGATAGACACGTTTGTAGCGACTATGCAGACCGTGAGGTCAACTTTCAGCACAGGAGGTCGTGGGGTTCGATGCCGACTCTGACGCCTGCTGCATATTTGGAGTGTGCATGTCTCTCTCCCCATGGTCGCGTGGATTTTTCTCCTGGTCTTCTGGATTTCCCCTCCGCATTTAGAAACATGCGTTGAGAGTATTTGGCTGCTATATATTTCCACGTGATAAGCCACTTCGTTGGGCTATCACTTGTGGCCAGGTTGCTTCTCATAATATATACATATAGCTTAGTGGGCCTTAGCTGGTAAACTAGTCTGCAGTTTTATAGTTTAAGTTGCCTGGTCCTGGTGAGAGCCGCTCACAGCTTCCCCCCAACACCTGTGAGAAACAAAATTAGTTTCTCACTCAATCTGGAACACTTTATTTGCGTCGCTTTCCGTCACCAAGAGAGCCGTGCAATCACGGATTGCACACCCATTGGTGGTGGGTTTATGGCCCAGGCATGAATCCAGATTCGCCGTATTTGTAAAAACGCACTTTCTATGAGATACTTGTTAATATCCGAATTCATATTCATTACATTTTAAAAGTTGTTGTTTTTTTTAGATAACGAAAACAGCCATTACAATCCCGACAATTCATTGCTGTGGAGGCAGCGAGGGTTGTTGGATCACACACGTGCCGTGAACCTCCGTGGGTATCGAGGAGGGAGCTATACCCCGACCATCCAGGAGAGTGCGGTACATCAACATGTGGACTAACACCATAACTTCCACCTGTATGGGGGTAGGGTGTAAAACACTTTGCAGGCGTGGGTTTACTTCGGGTGCTTCGCCTACCCCTCCCCTGACAGGTATGAACGCTGATTAATTAATGGAATACATCGTAACATAGATGACCACAGAGCTTGGACAATTGTTGGTAGCACCGCGTGGTATACAAAATCAAGTATAATTTGGCAATCTTGATTTGAAGCTTTCGTGACTGCAAGAATCCAGTATAATTTGGCAGTAAAATAATAATGTTTTACTATGTTTTTAAAGTTCACTAGCTATGAGGATGTAACTAAAACGCGACATCGTCCACATGATTACCATCTAACGTATGAGACCTCCTTTGCCAGTAGCAAGATATAGTAATAGGTTTTTACCCTCTTATCTGGCACCAAAACTGACACCTTTATACGAGGGATCATGTTTGCAATAACCACAACACAAGCAGTCAAAATGCAAAGAAAAAGAGACAACTCTGATAATGATATGCACTGTCCTTGAAATTGATTGGTCCACACCCGAAACGGCTTTTCATAGAGCCTAGTCTCCACTGGTGTTGGACCAGATGACGTCAAAAGGCGTACAACTCAAAAACAGCGCACTATCAGAGTATTGAGAGCTCCTTTGCCAGTAGCAAGATATAGTAATAGGTTTTTACCCTTTTATCTGGCACCAAAACTGACACCTTTATACAAGGGATCATGTTTGCAATAACCACAACAGAAGCAGTCAAAATGCAAACAAAAAGAAACAACTCTGATAATCTTCTTTGGTTCTTTCGGTAAAGTCACGTAGAATGAGAATAAAATAATAAATTGATAAATAAAATAACACAATAATATTCTCACGACGTTTCGGCCACAACACAAGCGGCCTTCATCAGGTGAAGGGAGCGAGACTGTCTGGTAGGACAGCGCTGGAGTGAGAGAGCCACGTTCAGATCACGGCTTTTAAGCTGTGTGAGAGGAACAAAGAGCCTTGACGAAGGAATTAGCATAAAATTTAGCATTGAAAAGGCTGAATGATTAGCTTGTGACTGGTCACAGAAATAGCTATGTTAAAAGTTAAAGCATACACATCCGCAGAGGCACCCATTGTTAAAGGAATTAGCATAGAATTTAGCATTGAAATAGCTAAATTAAGGCATTCGCTTGTAACTGCTACAGAAATAGTTACGTTGAAGTCAGAGCATACACATTCACCGAGGCACTTAGTACAAATCAAAACAGGAGAATTTAGCATTGAAATAACTAGGCGAATTTAGCATTGAAATAACTGGGTGATTTGCTGGTGACTGGTCACAGAAATGACTACAAATCTGAGCTATTCACAGTACTATATAGTGAACCAATAAAAACTAAAATATAAATTACCTTCATGTTATCAATAAACTCTATATTCTCCAATCAGCTGTCTCTCTCCCCCTCCTCTGTTCCGACCATGGACGAACTCGTCCGTCTGAACGGGGCCCGTAGCTATCCGTGGTACGGAAATTTGAGGGTAAGAATCCACCCATTTTTTCGCCATATAGCATTGTGATATATAACGACTTATGGTTGGTAGCTTAGCTGATTGGAGAATATAGAGTTTATTGATAACATGAAGGTAATTTATATTTTAGTTTTTATTGGTTCACTATATAGTACTGTGAATAGCTCAGATTTGTAGTCATTTCTGTGACCAGTCACCAGCAAATCACCCAGTTATTTCAATGCTAAATTCGCCTAGTTATTTCAATGCTAAATTATCCTGTTTTGATTTGTACTAAGTGCCTCGGTGAATGTGTATGCTCTGACTTCAACGTAACTATTTCTGTAGCAGTTACAAGCGAATGCCTTAATTTAGCTATTTCAATGCTAAATTCTATGCTAATTCCTTTTAACAATGGGTGCCTCTGCGGATGTGTATGCTTTAACTTTTAACATAGCTATTTCTGTGACCAGTCACAAGCTAATCATTCAGCCTTTTCAATGCTAAATTTTATGCTAATTCCTTCGTCAAGGCTCTTTGTTCCTCTCACACAGCTTAAAAGCCGTGATCTGAACGTGGCTCTCTCACTCCAGCGCTGTCCTACCAGACAGTCTCGCTCCCTTCACCTGATGAAGGCCGCTTGTGTTGTGGCCGAAACGTCGTGAGAATATTATTGTGTTATTTTATTTTATCAATTTATTATTTTATTCTCATTCTACGTGACTTTACCGAAAGAACCAAAGAAGATGAATCATTGCAGTCACGAAAGCTTTAAATCGAAACTCTGATAATGATATGCACTGTCCTTGCTACTGGCAAAGGAGGTCTCATAATGTAAATTCTTACCCCGAGCTCTCAATACTCTGGTAGTGCGCTGTTTTTGAGTTGTACGCCTTTTGGCGTCAGTTTTGGTGCCAGATAAAAGGGTAAAAACCTATTACTACCATCTAACGTGTCAGGGCAAGGATTCGTGTCGGTCTCGAGAGAGAGCGAGTGTGGTCTCACGTGACCTGACGCGCGGTTGTTTTTGTAAAACAATTAGAATAGAAATGTGTACCCAACTTCAGAATATCGCCAAACAATAGCTGAACGCAAAGTCACAATGGGAATATCAATACCTTTTAATGTGTAAAAATACGCAGCGGAACAGCTAATTATGCCTCGGAATGTTTCCACTACTAAGCTGAAAACATTCCCAGCAGCAAACCACATGTATGTATCGATATGAAAAGGGTTTGTCATTCTGTCTGAATTTTACAAAACCACGGAACACTTTCATTATTATAACTCTGCCTTAATGAGATCGGAGATTATAAGAATTTTCAGCAAGAGCAGGAAGCCATCTTGATTCGACCATTGCTGCAAACTTTTAAGAAGCAAACCTTTGCGATGTGGAGACAGGATTGAGACGAATAAATTGGTCTCAGCGAGGTGAGAATGATAGGGTACATCTTCACACTTGTCAAGAGTGGAAGCATTTTCCGTTATCGAGAGACAGGTGGCAGCCATTAAGGAGGAGTGGGGTTCTTTGTTCCTATGGTGAGAACATCGGGCAGAGTTGCCCAGTAAACGCTAAGACTCTAAAGCCACTGCAAGTTAAGAAATTCCCAAATATTTACACCACACACACAAGCACTGAAAAAAAATTAACTGCTAAATGAGGGCGAGGTGCATGACATCATCTTAACGGGTGACATTGATGCACAAGCTGTAAACGGTGCAGAGCCGAGGGAGTGATTGGTTAGCTTGGCATTGGCGTGAGCAGTGGGAGAGTCGAGCGTCCATTCACAAAGACAAGACAATAACGGAAACCTTTTTTTCAAAGAGAATAAATTAATGCAACGGACGTGCATGAGTAAAAAAGGTTCAAGCTGGACATGACAGTAAGTCGACAAAGCCCCGCTGATGGCCATTTAGAGATGTCTCGGTCCGTCGCCAGTCCAACACAGGCAGGAGGGGGAATCTGCCTCGTGCATCGGTCCATGATGGTGGAAATGAACGTCGTGGGTCCCTATGGCAAGTAACGCCGGTCCTAGAGCCGTGCCTTAGACCGCCACCACCAGCAGCAGCAACGGCAGCGTCCCAGCACACACTTCGTGATTTACATTCCGCGCTCGCGACAGCGAGTCTGAAGATGCCGACCAGAGACTTGCTTTCGCTTGAAACGTAGTTCGAAGCAGGACGATTGCTGCCCCGTATGCTAACACACGAACGATAAGAACAAATCCACCTCGTTCTTTACGATCATTCTGTTTGGGTGGATGTCTGTAGAGTTTATCGACGCAGTCATGTCCCACGCATCAACAAATGCCACATTCATGTCTTTGAACACCTCCATTGTAACTTGGTTAATCCTAAACGTGTTCCAGTTGCTGTAAAATTCCAGGTTGGTCGAGTCTCGGGTGTTGGCCAACTTAATGACGACTTTCGTCTTGGGATTTCTGAGCAGCAGCCTCGCCACGGCAGCTCCGATGTTTTGCATTCGCCTGCGGAAGACCTCGATGGGGAAGACGACGAAGTGAGCGCCGAGGGAAATGGCCACCACGGTATGGCTCCCACCGAAGGTGCCGTCGATGCGATGGGCGATGTAGCAGGCGTCCTGCGTGACTGTGTAGGCCTGCGTGATCAGCGGGTACGCGTGGCAGTACCACTGCAGGGAAATATTGTGCTCGATGTCGACTGCCAACCTTGGCTGTTGTCTTCCTTTGCCAGGCGTCTTCAGGGTCAAACGTTTCAACTCTACGTTAAATGAGATTTAGGGGAAAAGAAAATATATAATCATATAATATATAAAATATATAATCATATATAAAATATATAATCATATAATATGTAAAATATGTAATCATATACTATATAAAATATATAATCATATAATATGTAAAATATATAATATATAAAATATATAGTCATATAATATATAAAATATATAACCATGATCAACATTGCAGGAATGGTTTGCTCACTCTGCGTCGGCAGTGGCGTAAAATCATGAACAACAAAAACTTAACACCTCCGTCCTTTACACTGTGGCCTTAAAAGGATATACATACACATAATAAAGCAACGTTTCAAGAAATGACCCTGCTTTATATCACATCATATTCACAACTGGCTCCGTGCACCTGCGAGAGAAATGTTCGTTTCTTATGACTTTTAAGAATAAAAACTGTCAACATCTTCATCAACAAGTCCAGTAGAAGTAATTTCCCGATCAAATTGGCATTGAGGCGGTGCTTAACTCTTGTTTACAGCCCCGAGCCAGTGGTGGGAAATCCCTGTTCCTATGGCAGGGGCGAGTCTCTCCATAGGGTAAACCAGGAATCAAACTCGCAACTTTCTGCTTGCGAGCCACCCGCTCTACCGCTGAACCATCCGACCGGATCAATATGCTGTACATCACAATGTGGATGCATGCAATGTCATAATTGCACCGCATCTAATGACGCTGTGGACAAACTGGGCGTGCTTATTTATTGAATAGATGCAGTCCTGTTATGGGCAGATGACAAGGGGAAGGCTCTCAGCCTTGACTTGAACAGAGGTAGGGAGTCGATAGCACAAGTGGCAGGGGGAGTTCCAGACTATGGGGACAGTCGAGGGGATTTAGCAACCTCCCGCAGGCCTTTCAGGAAAGATCTCTAACTCACATGAACATCCTTATTCACATGGTCATTCTTACTCACATGACCACCGACACCTGCACGTAGTGTATGCCAGACGGACACGGGAGTTGGTTTCTCCTTAAGAGTGACCACGGTTGACCCCGCACAGAAGTGGGGTAACCCACTTTCACGATCCCCAGTCGGACGTAGAACGGAGGGGGATTGGAGATGAACGAAACCGCGCGATTTGATAGGCAACGGAGACTGGGACCGGATTTGGTGCCATGGTCGCTGCTGAGCTGACCGACCGAACCTTGGGAAGAAGAGACCGGCCCGAGTCGAAGGATCCGCTTTACCTCTGACAAACTCGTTGAGATATTCCCACCATTGTCTTATGGTTGAGTCGCCGAGTAGAATAATTTCCTTTTCCTTCAGGCAAGCTCGGATCGTTTGCGGATCGTCGAAATGCTTCATGTCGCACAAGGCCGAGTGCCAGACGTTGCCAAAGTAGTGGCCGCTCGGGTACGCGGTTCGCAATCCAGGGACGCATGGTTTAGGTGGCCTCGTAGTCGATTCTGTGACATATGTACAACACAAATCAAGCCACTGGTAGACGTTGCGTCGTTAGATTTGCAATGTGACAGAGCAAAAGGCGATGGGGGATCCCAATCATGAATCAAAGCATAAGGCTGCAAAATCCTACGCCGTCACGAGTTCCCAATTCTACACCGCAAGGGGTCTCCAATTTACCTCGTCATTTGAATAAAAGTCGTTTGTGTAGAGCAATTAAAACAAACAAACAAACAAAAACATCCGTTTGGAAAATGTTAAGTGTAAAACGAGAAGTATAGATGTTGCGAGTCAACTGTGATGAGAGTGCCTCGCTCAGGCGACGGGACTTGACACTGGGGTTCTCTGCCGTGGCCACGTCGGCTTCTCACGTGTAGCTTTCCGCGTCACACAAATCCTCACCGTCCGTGATGGAGGCATGGACGTGATATGGAACTCGCAGCGGCACCAGGATGTGGTCCCTGCAATGAAACACGCATAATGCGTTGTTGTCGTCGTGGGTACGTGCTTTTGAAAACGTTGGACCAACATCGGGCCAAAATTGACCCAACGTTCCATGCTTACCGGGGTAATAATAACAACAACAACAATAAAAGTGTTACCTTGAGAAAAGCCTCCGTTCATCTTGAGTGAATACTTCCCAGTATTTTGTGAAGGACGTGTATCCGTGGATAGAGTAGCAGGGAAAGCCTCGAGGCTTTTTGCAAATCAAGCCTTCACCCAAACGCTCGTCAGTGAAATTGCAGATCTCTTGGGTTGTGTTCAGGAACAGTTCGCACACCGCGGTCTTTTTGGCCTCGCCCGCCACGAACGTTCCCCAGAAGCTGACTCTGTTTGGCACGGACTCCCTTGCGTTCTCCAGAATCCCCACCGCCTCACCGGGGTGGACCAGAATGATCTCCAGCCGGCTCTCTCCCGGCCACAGGATTCTGAACTCCACGGTGTAGGTCCCGTCGCTGTGGTCGGTCACGGATGCCGAAGCCGCGGCGCCAAGGTCTGCGTTGTAAATCCGGGCCATGACGAAGTCGCCCCCGTGCGATTTGGCTTTGCCGGTGGCGTCTCGCATTTCCAGCTTCGCGCGCAGGTATTCGCCGACAAAATGCTCCTGCCGTCCGTTCAGAATCGTGACAACGCTTTCCGAGGCCGAAGTCACGAGCATGGGATTTGTGGTTATTGGCAGGTGCCACTTGGATCGGCTGTAACCCGGCGCGTGCGTGGTGGCATTGTTGCGCTCGGCTGTGGACAGCATATCGGCCCCTCTGATGGTTTGATAGTTAAGCTTCGGCTTCACACGATGATGATGCTCCCTGAGAAGCTGAAGGGAAAACTGGAATGAAACCCAGTAAACGTGCAACTTTGCCGTGAGGTTGAAACCGTTTCATCAACGTTGGCTCAGCGTTATATGTTTGCTCGGACGGTGCAAACCACATGGAACCCTCTTTCAGACACTGAGCTATTCCTCCAGTCTCATCCTATCCTTACTCTCCAATCAGAAGGCACTCATGCCACATCTGCAACTGTTACAGATAGACAACATTCTATATGAAGTGGTGGTGTGCACCAGTTAACTGCTCATTTATTGAGGCGTTTTACTGTGGTGTCATGTTCATTTGTAAAACAATGTTTAACTATAAGTTATATGTTTAAAATGTGTGTACACGTGTCATTACGTGTTTGCTATGTACATGCCAAATGACACCCTAGACACCCTTACAAACGATATATTCCATTTCAAGCGATTTCCACTTTAAATATTGTAAAACGATCAATTTTAAAGCATGCAATTAACACTACGGTCACAGATGTATGGGAATGTGGTCACCAATGATAATTCGTTAAAAAGTCAATGATACATTGCTTCACAAGAAAAAAAATCCATTGCATCCTGCAGAATTCCAATAGTTTGCGCAATTTTTATGATCGCAAATACGGTAAATCTTTGCTCCCCGTTGAGGACCACTGGCAGACGAATGCCCGCATGCAGGCCGGTGTCCACGTTGTGCCACAGAGGAACAGCTGCCATCGCTCGACTGCAGCAGAGCATGGCAATGGTTGAAATAAAATGTGATGATGTATGTTGAACTTCTTTCGCACCGTACGTAGCCAAACGTGCTAATCGGAGGTGCGAGGGAAGGACAACTAAACAGAAAAAGCTGTTCTAAAGAAATGAGTTTTCAATTTAGATTTGAAAAGTACACAGCACCAGTGGCTTCTTAATATTCGAAGGAAGAGCATTCCAGACGGCCACGGAAGCGAATTTGAAAGCGCACGATTGAGTGACCTTCTTTGTTAGATGGTTGTGATGGTGTAAGACGCTATTCTCTTCAAGCGTGTGGCAATGTGTTCAGGAGCTACATGTCAATGTCGCGGTCTGCAGGCCACGAAAAAAGGGCTTCATTAGAGGGTTGGTGTCGTTGTGATTTTCCTCCTCCGTCGAAGGAGCGCAGACCACAGTGGGTTACGATATGATCCGTGGTTTGGGATGTATGCCCATAGTCGAACTACTGTGGCTTGTCTTTGATGCATCTCTGTGCGTCTCTATGTATGTTTATGCGTCTCTTTGTGAATCGATGGGCTCCCTATATGGTCCATAGTTTGGATAGCATGGTCACAATTGCACTGTGGGCGGGAGACAGTGGCCTTCTCGCGGTGGCTCCACCCGTTATGTGTTCCCGTATCACCTTGAGCACAACTAATAGAGTATCGTCATCTGTGCGTAATGGCCGCGGTGAATTCCAATCCAGATCTCTAAGGCACTTCTAAAATGAAATTATACAATTTACCAGGTAAAGCCCATTGAGCTGAGCTCTTTTTCTGAGGCGACCTGGCCACACACGATGGCTCATCGAAGTGGCTGATGTCATCGTACGTGGGAATTCATAAGAGCAGCCAAATAATCTGAAGGCATGTTCATTCTGAACGTGGAGGGGGAAACCGGATGAACCCAGAGAAAAATCCACCCGACCAAGACGGGGAGAGAGAACAGACGGACTCCAAATATACTATTAAAACAAGTTTTGAAAATTGTAAACTTTTTATTTATTTATTTACCAAGTAAGGCCCACTGAGCAACAGTGAGGGAAAAAAGTATTTGATCCCCTGCTGATTTTGTACGTTTGCCCACTGACAAAGAAATGATCAATCTATAATATTAATGGTAGGTTTATTTAAACAGTGAGAGACAGAATAACAACAACAAAATCCAGAAAAACGCATGTCAAAAATGTTATAAATTGATTTGCATTTTAATGAGGGAAATAAGTATTTGACCCCTTCTCAATCAGAAAGATTTCTGGATCCCAGGTGTCTTTTATACAGGTAACGAACTGAGATTAGGAGCACACTCTTAAAGGGAGTGCTCCTAATCTCAGCTTGTTACATGTATAAAAGACACCTGTCCACAGAAGCAATCAATCAAGCAGATTCCAAACTCTCCACCATGGCCAAGACCAAAGAGCTCTCCAAGGATGTCAGGGACAAGATTGTAGACCTACACAAGGCTGGAATGGGCTACAAGACCATTGCCAAGCAGCTTGGTGAGAAAGTGACAACAGTTGGTGCGATTATTCGCAAATGGAAGAAACACAAAAGAACTGTCAATCTCCCTCGGCCTGGGGCTCCATGCAAGATCTCACCTCGTGGAGTTGCAATGATCATAAGAACGGTGCGGAATCAGCCCAGAACTACACAGGAGGATCTTGTCAATGATCTCAAGGCAGCTGGGACCATAGTCACCAAGAAAACAATTGGTAACACACTACGCCGTGAAGGACTGAAATCCTGCAGCGCCCACAATGTCCCCCTGCTCAAGAAAGCACATATACATGCCCGTCTGAAGTTTGCCAATGAACATCTGAATGATTCAGAGGACAACTGGGTGAAAGTGTTGTGGTCAGATGAGGCCAAAATGGAGCTCTTTGGCATCAACTCAACTCGTCGTGTTTGGAGGAGGAATGCTGCCTATGACCCCAAGAACACCATCCCCACCGTCAAACATGGAGGTGGAAACATTATGCTTTGGGGGTGTTTTTCTGCTCAGGGGAAAGGAGAACTTCACCGCATCAAAGGGACGATGGACGGGGCCATGTACCGTCAAATCTTGTGTGAGAACCTCCTTCCCTCAGCCAGGGCATTGAAAATGGGTCGTGGATGGGTATTCCAGCGTGACAATTACCCAAAACACATGGCCAAGGCAACAAAAGAGTGGCTCAAAAAGAAGCCCATTAAAGTCCTAGAGTGGCCTAGCCAGTCTCCAGACCTTAATCCCATAGAATATCTGTGGAGGGAGCTGAAGGTTCGAGTTGCCAAACGTCAGCCTCGAAACCTTAATGACTTGGAGAAGATCTGCAAAGAGGAGTGGGACAATATCCCTCCTGAGATGTGTGCAGACCTGGTGGCCAACTACAAGAAACGTCTGACCTCTGTGATTGCCAACAAGAGTTTTGCCACCAAGTACTAAGTCATGTTTTGCAGAGGGGTCAAGTACTTATTTCCCTCATTAAAATGCAATCATTTTATAACATTTTTGACATGCGTTTTTCTGGATTTTGTTGTTGTTATTCTGTCTCTCACTGTTCACATAAACCTACCATTAATATTATAGACTGATCATTTCTTTGTCAGTGGGCAAACGTCCCAAATCAGCAGGGGATCAAATATTTTTTTACCTCACTGTATATAGCTCTTTTCAGAAGCGACCTGACCACAAATGATAGCCCGACAAAGTGTATTATCATGTGGAAATGTATAGCAGCCAAATATTTCTAAACGCGTGATGTTGATTGCAAATTTGGAGGGAAAAAACCAGAAGACCCGGAGAAAAATCCACACGACCACGGGGAGAACATGCAAACTCCAAATATACAGGCGTCAGGGTCCGGATCGAACCCACGACTTTCTGTATACCAGGCAAGGGCGATAACATCCCCTCACCACCAAATCCCTTACCCTTCGTTGATAAGGCATTAAGAAGAGCTCTGCACGTGCATTCTCTGACCCTTAAGGACAACGGCAAACCGAGGTCACTCGTGTAGGTGAATAGAAATGGCATGGGGGCCTGCTGCCCTTGTACAGGTGTGCGTATATGTGTTTGTTGAACTTCTTTCGCACCGTACGTGGCCAACCGTGCTAATTGGAGATGTAATTCGTGCAGTATAACTGCTGGACGAGTCTATAGCATAGGACAATCACTGTTGACTTCCCCACAAAGTGGAACTCGTTTTTATCGACCCACCCCCCCGGAAGGAGTGATGATGGGTTGCGTCAACTCCCCACCAACCTCGATCAATTTTCGATCGGGAGCCGCTGCCTCTACCCCGGAGTCACACGGCCGGACTGCTCGACTGCCGCGGTCCCGTCCCCTGTATTTTGTCTCTCGCCGATGTGTGAGGCTGTGTCGCGCCGCGTGGGAGAGCCGGAATTTGTCTCCACGTCCGCACGTTTCTTTCCATTTCACAGCGGTCACCGTGCGGAGGATGTTAGCTTGCCTCGCCACGTTACATCTAACGTTACTCTGGAACGAATGGGTCTCGACTTAAGCAATTACTCTAGAAACGCAGTCACGCTACGGTTCTCCGTGCAGTTTCGTAAAAATTACATGTCAATTTAAAAAATATATACAATGGTGAACTGGTTTTTTGTAAGAACAAGTCATCACAAACTTTTAAAACTGTAATTCTGATCAGGCCCCAATGCTGTTAAGTGCAGTCTCCATCCCCGTATTCACTGTCTATGAGGTTTCTCTGGTAATTGTGCCCAATGAGGAAGGAACATTGGCCGAAACGTCACCGATTCTCTATTATTTTCATTTCAGGGCCACAGTGTTATTGACGAATGTGTTGAGATTGTTCTTTTTTTTAATTGTGCTTGTGTACTACTGCCAACGCAGCATCAAAAGTAATGTGTTTAACTAAGTTAAGCAGACAAATGCGTTCCATCACTTATCTGTCCCTCCACGTAGAAAAACTACATCTAATGTTTGTTTTAACACGTTCCATCAGGCACACTGCATTCTGGGAGTGCGCAATTTCAGACATGCTTGCTTGGACTCAACATTGTTGTTTTAACACAATCATATAACGTCTCACAAACAAAGGATACAAACCCCTTACCTTTTTGTTATCATAAAATATCAATGGCAACAAAAAACCAAATATCACAGTTGAAAGCAGCACCATTTTGGTGGTCATGTCGTTTCCAGGCTCGTTCGCTGAGCGCTGTGTCCTGTAACTTTACCAACAGGACACAAACACACACAGCCATTTATCCCGGGAGGGTTGAATGTAAATAAACTCCTTAAAAATAAGTTTTGTTTTTTTTTAAACAACGGTTTTATAAACAACTTCGTTTAACTCACGGTCGAGAAGTACGTCAATGGCGCCTATTTATAAATAATAAGGCGTCCATGCTTTAAAGTAGCGAATTAATTGATGCCGATTTTGATACAGGCATGCATTGTCACCGGATCTGAGTACGTGTGCAAAATTTGGAATTGATTGGACAACAGTAAGTAGACTCACTTTTGATTATAAGATTTGACCAGGACACAGGAATCAAGTTAAGTAAAACCGTTGAAAAAAAAAAGTTCGTGCATGCATTCATTCATTCATTTCGTGTCCACCACACCAACTTAGTCAGATCATTTTCCTGGTTCTTTCGGTAAAGTCAAGTTGAAGGGAAACAATAAAATTATAAAATATATATGAATCACTGCAGTCACGAAAGCTTTAAATCAAA